TTCAAATTTGAATTTATCCAACCGCCGGCCAGCAAGGCAACCGTGCGCCCAGGAGTGGCGCGCCTGTTCATGCGGACGGTTCGAATCGGATGTTTTTGGGGTCCTCGAACATGTTTTTTGACGTTCCAAACTCAATTTTGATACTTTCGGAGATCAACAGGGCCTCTATAATAAAGTTTGAGCAAGAATTTAATTTTCGTAACGCAATTTTTGGCGTTTCGGACAATACAAATTGTTGACACATATATTTTCAAACTCCTCGAACTTCGACGTCCAAAAATAAGGGGGCAACTGATACGTCATCATGACATAATCTTGAATTCTTGATCAGGCACGAATCTCGAGGCAAAAATCAAATTGGGAACTTCAAAAAATTAAACCCAGGAGCACCTGAACTCTAATTTCAACGATCTTATAGTTAAACTGAGCATATCGGAAATACGAACTCAACGACACCAAATTCGACTCAATCCGAGCCCAAATGAGCCAAAATCAAGGACCCGAAGCGCTATTGGAAGCTTCATATCACAATTTGAGTTACCAAACGGTCTCCGATTTTGACGAGCTTATACTCGAATCGAGCGGCTCGACAAGACGAATCCAACGAGCCCAATATCACCGAATTCCGACATCACTAAGGACTTAAATTATCCAACTAATGGTGTACAATCGTAGGATTCAATATCAGCCGTCCATTCGACCACTCCCTATTCGCCCCTGATCTCATGCCTATTTAAGAGCTATGCCACTCCATAAAATTTATAAATAGAGCCCTCATTTCTCATGAGAGGGGGGTCCGAGCAAGAAGAGAATAGGAGAAGAGAAGGAAGAAGCTCCTCCTCGACCACCGCCGGAGCCTCGCCGAACCACCGATAGAACTTCGCCGGACTACCGCGCGCTGGAGCCTCGCCGGACCACCGCAAGAGCTTCGCCACACCACCACCTCAAGGATCGACGTTCTGGCCTGACATTCTGGCCCGACGTCTGTTGAAGGCCCGACGCTCTGCTCAAGGCCCGACATTCTGCTCAAGGCCTGACATTCTTCTAAAGGCCCGATGTTCTGGCCCGACGTTCTGCTGAAGACCCGGTGCTCTACTCAAGGCCCGACATTCTGCTCAAGGCCCGACATTCTCCTCAAGGCCCAACGTTATGGCTTGACGTTCTGGCCCGACATTCTAGCCCGACGTTCTGCTGAAGGCCCGATGCTCTGCTCAAGACCCGACGCTTTGCTTAAGGCCCGATGCTCTACTCAAGGCCCGACATTCTGCTCAAGGCCCGATGTTCTGCCAAAGGCCTAACGTTCTGCTCAAGGCCCGACATTCTCTTCAAGGCCTGACGTTCTGGCCCGACGTTCTGCTGAAGGCCCGATGCTCTGCTCAAGGCCCGACATTCTGCTCAATGCCCGACGTTCTACTGAAAGCCCGATGCTCTACTCAAGGCCCAACATTCTGCTCAAGACCCGACGCTCTGCTCAAGGCCCGACGCTCTGCTCAAGGCCCGACATTCTACTCAAGGCCCGACGTTCTGCCGAAGGCCCAACATTCTGCTCAAGGCTCGACGTTCTGCTGAAGACCCGACGCTCTGCTCAAGGCCCGACATTCTACTCAAGGCCCGACGTTCTGCTGAAGTCCCGACGCTCTGCTCAAGGCTCGACATTCTACTCAAGACCCGACGCTCTACTCAAGGCCCGACGCTCGATCTGCTCAAGGCCCGACATTCCGCTCAAGGCCCGACGTTCTGCCGAAGGCCCAATGTTCTGCTCGAGGCCCGAAGTTCTGTTCAAGGCCAGACTACCAACTAACACTCGAACTTCCAGGTGACTTCGGGTCTAACACCAGACTCCTATCGAACAGTTACTAGTTGTAATCTGATCGCCCTTGGAGGCGATTCAGCCCTTTGTAACCGACTCAAATTCTAGTGGAATCATTTTCAACTGGGCTAGGCCCCGTGGTTTTTCCCCCTTATTAGGGGTTTTCCCCCTTATTAGGGGTTTTCCACGTAAAAACTCTGGTGTCTCTTATGAATGATACAGTACCCTCTCACTAATCTGATTGTGTGCTGGATCTTCGTACAATGCTAAGACATTAAACTATATATTTCTCTACCGCCGCGAATATTCCAGGACACAACACTAATATATTGCAACAAATAAAGTATAATTGAGCTTAATTCAGAATGTGTCAAAATTTCTTAACAGTAGACAATAGAAAACCCTAATGTGCCAAAAATTATATTTTCATAAATTAATCAAATTAACATGAATTAAACATAATAATATTCTAAAGCTTTTAGTGAACTAAAGGACTTTTTTTTAAATATTGAAATAAATTTTTGAATAGATAAAAACAGTTTTTTTTTCAAAATTATTGAGCAAAAAAATCTCAAATAAATACGAAAATATTCATAATCTCAATCTCTATAGTATAAAAAAAATTACGCATTGGGAGTTTTACCAATACAAAATTATACTTATTTTTCGATAACAAAAATACAAATTTGATTGAAAAATACTAAAAATATAAAATTATTGAAATAAAAAATAGGTTAAAGGTTCATTACAATGAGACGAGAAAATCTCCTAACTGAGAGGACTAACAAAAATCATTTTATGACCTCTAAATCTAAAATTTATTTTCTCTCTCCTCTCTTTTCTCTAAATTTGATTTTTTATTTCTCAATTAAGTCGTTTAAAGAAAAGGAAATTAAATTTAAAGCCATTTGTGACATTAGATTTTTTTTTAGTGTATCAACATTATAAATTAATATGAGTTGCCTCTTAAAATATAATGCTCTACGCAGGAGGATGGCTAATGGACTCTTCTTTAAAGATGATTTGTAGTATTATCCTCATTGTAGTATTATCCTCATTGTAGCTTATAAATAAATGATAATTATAATGAATATAATTGATAACCAACTCAGAAATAGTTGGGGTTAAAAAGATGATGAAAATAATATATTAAAATGTCCGGCCTTGTTGAATCATACATTGAAGCATGTGCATATTAACATCATTAATAGATAGAACTATAATGTGTATAGATGGCATTGACAAATAGACCATGATACATATGATTGATAATATATAAGATATATAAGACTCTTGATATTGACACTTATATGTTATGATTCATTTACCAATTTATGAATTGACAGATTGTATCATATTTCATGGAATTATTGATTATTGATATGTTTATATTCTCGCTCTTGTTATTGATGTAACATCAGGTTTGCTCATATCGTCCGGGCCGATCTGGGATCCGTCCCGGTCGGGTTGGGTCGTGACAAGCTTTAGTGGTATCAGAGCAAAGGTTTTGGAATTTGTAATTTGAATTGTAAGACAGAGCTATATGAAGTAATCTGAGTCTGTCTGGGGTAGTTTTGGTTTGTCCGTATTTTTATTGTGTTATTTTTGTGATTAGTTTTCTATGATGAAAATAATATATTAAAATGTCCGGCCTTGTTGAATCATACATTGAAGCATGTGCATATTAACATCATTAATAGATAGAACTATAATGTGTATAGATGGCATTGACAAATAGACCATGATACATATGATTGATAATATATAAGATATATAAGACTCTTGATATTGACACTTATATGTTATGATTCATTTACCAATTTATGAATTGACAGATTGTATCATATTTCATGGAATTATTGATTATTGATATGTTTATACTCTCGCTCTTGTTATTGATTCATAAATCTCATTGGATATAGTTCATATTTTTTTGCTATTGATCATTTTGAGCCTTACTAATGATATATGATCATTGACGATATTGAATACTATTAATTAGATTGACTGAATTGAGCATGCATATTGATTCATCAAATTTTATGTTGGAAGCTTTAGTGATTTTAAGTTACTGATGGACTTTTTAGCTCATTAAGTAAATTTTAATGATTTCAGGTTAAGGAAGAGATCAGAACCAGGTGGAGCAAGGTTGTTAGAGATCCTCATATTTTTCTTTTGATTTTGTTTTGTATTTTATTGTCAATGTTGATTAATGCATTGTGAAATATTTTGATTTATATAATTTTAGATGTTTCCACTATAATGATTTATATTGATGAATTCATATAACTTTTGATTAATTATGTAAGTGATTAAAATAGACAATTCTTTCAAACTTGATATTGGGGTGTGACAAGATGTCATTGACAAGTAGCCATGCAGGTTGCGAGTTCTCTGGGGTGAGTGTTCTAGGCAAAACTTTAAAGGTAATGGTCTTGAATGAGTCTTCTATGATGAATATATTGGGTATGTTTGCTAGGGCTGAACATTATTGACTGTGCAATAACTGTGAGCTATATACATATGTGCCTCATGTAACTTGGGGTATGAGTATTTATGTAGGGCGGATAATCTTGACTAGTGAGAATCATTGAAAGAGTGGAGTCCTCAAAAGTCGAGTGCTAGCTTGAATGAAGGTTTGCTAAGTTGATTTCTCTCACTAAAGTCACTCAAAATATGTGCCTCCTCGATCAAACTCTTTTGGGGCGAGTTCATAAAATGTGTTCTTCATTTGGACGAATAAATGCTTATAATTGACCATCCTCTCGTAAATGCTCATTAAGGTGAGACTCATTTTGACTGTGTGCACCTCGATTTTAAACTCTTCAATAACGAATCTACTTGGTACATACAAGTTACCTAAATCGGCACATAGAACATCAAATTTTTTACTCAAATCAATAATAACAGTAATATTTAACTCAAATCAAGCTCGCCAATAATTAAACTTTCCTCTACTTAAGGTTCCATCAACAAAATCAACTAATCAAATCCCTTAAAATTCATTATATAAATCCCCATAAGAAACTAACTCCTCCAACAACTCAGCATTTTTTAACACAAATATTACACATTTCATAACACATTCTTATTATTTCAAGTATAGCTGGTTGCATTTCTCCCCAAAAACCAAAAAAAAAAAAATTAATAATAAAAAAGTATAGAAGGTTGCTGAAGCTGCTAGAAGCTTCTAGAAGCAGCTGGGAGGAATAACGAGGCCGGAGCTTCTTCCATTAGCATTCCTACAGAATGACTGCGCTGCCATTTTCTTCTGCCCATAGGTCAGATCTATGTTATCCAATCCGATTCCGCTGCATGGATTGCTTTCGCTGCAGTCCAATTTCACTGCTATCTTTGTCGCTGATGTTCCCATTATGTTCTTGAAGGACACCCCGATTATCTTTATCCCTGAGCTCTGTACATTAAAATAAACAAATTAAGAGACATCGGATAAAATTAAGAGCTTTTTAATATGAAAAGTTTAATTTTTTATAAAATAAGTTGTTCTAAATGAAATATAAGACTTAGGTTTCATTTGGGACGGCTTTCTTACTGCTTCTTAAAACGAATTTCTAGTTCAAAAATTAAAATTTTAATGCTAGAAAATCATTTTAAGAAGCAGTAAGAAAGCCGTCCCAAACGAAGTCTGACGGCTTTCTTACTGCTTATTAAAGCAGCTATCTAGCATACAAATTTTAATTTTTTTACTAAAAAACTGTTTTAAGACGCATTAAGAAAGCCGCCCCAAACAAACCCTCATCTAAGACAACTTTTTTATTATTTTAAAAATAAATTTTAATAAAAATTTTCTAATTAAAAAAAATTATACTGAAATAAATTTTAAACTTCATTTGGGACGACTTTTTTATTACTTCTTAAAACTTTGTTTTTCAGAAGCAATAAAAAAAGTCTTTCAAAGCAAAACCTTAATATTAACTCTTGAAGAAATGTAGGTAAGTGCCACTAATTCTTATAATAATATAATTAGGTGTTATATTAATTATTAGAACAATATAATTGAGTGTTACATTAATGATTGGTAATACTGTATGTTTTAATGCTTGCCATTATAATGCTAGTATATTGTTTATCTTAAATTACATAAGATCTAATGTTTTTAAAGATTATTTTTTGTAAGAGGTTCTTGTTTTTCGATAAAGTTTAATATCTTTTTGAAGAATATGTGAACATGATCTAAATTTTATTGAAGATTTTGTTTGGGACAGTTTTTTTTAATGATTTTTAAAATGGGTTTTTGTGCACAAATTTCTAATTCGTAAAATTTTTGTACGAAAAAAACTGTTTTAAAAAACAGTTTAAAAGCTGTCTCAAACAAAACCTAAATCTAACCTAAAATTCTAAATAAAATGTTTTTAAAGAACGACTGTAATTAGATAGCTTTATTACTGATTTATAAAGCAACTTTCTTGTATAAAAATTTTTCGAACTTGAAAATTTTTTAACAAAAAAGTTGATTTTCTAAAGTGGTAAAAAAAAAATAATCAGAAATAAAACCTTAGTCTTCTCTTAACAAGACCACCAAAGTTATATCTATCATTATGTTATTGAATAAAAAATATTTTTTTTTTGAAAGATCATTTATAAACCTTTTATTGGCGGAGCCAGGGGGGGTTAAATTTCAAAAATTAAATCGGAGAACATATGAACTCCGATTTCAGCAAACTTACAATCGAACTGAACGTGTCGAAAATGCGAACACAACGACACCAAATTCGACTCAATCCGAACCCAAATGACTCCAAATCAAAGACTCATCATATAAGTGTTAG